GAAGGAAGGAACGGCTGCAAATTACCCACGGGACCGAACATATTTCTACCGTGCCTGTTAGTCTCGAGTATGGGATTTACTCAACAGGCACGGGATTACATCAACAGGCACGGGATCGACTCAACATGCTCGAGGCACATGATTGCTTCAACCGACACGGGATTGATTATACAGGCACGGGATTGGGGGAAGTGGGTCTTGCTTCAAACATGCTCACATATACGCTATGCATCTTATTCAATGGTATTAGTGGGTTTACACAATGCAATGCTTGATGCAAGGGATTGCCTCAACAGGCACGGGATCGACGTGACATGCAAGAGGCACGGGACTGATTCAACAGCCACGAGATTGTGTAAACAGGCTCGGGATTCGACGAAATGGTTGTTTCACAACCGATATTCACCCATATAGCGTGTATTGCACTATCATTATCCAGTGGTATTAGTGTGTTTACACACTCATTCTGGAGATGATAATGCAATGCATGAGGTATGGGTCATGTGGGAGGTTCTTTGGTTGATTTTAGCATTGATAAGTTCATTTTGTTTGTGGTATGGTTTGGTATTCAATTTGGTCAGTGGTTGGTATACTTTGGCACCGGGTGAGAGAGTTTTAGGTGCTGCTTGGTATTTGCCATTGCCATGTGGATTCACATACACGAGCAGGAGATGGACTTATGTTGCATTCCACTATGTAATAGCTAGTTTAATTAGATTTCCATTCTTAGAAGTAGCTAGCAGGCACATTATATGGTGCATTAGACTCATTGTATGTTTTTGGACCCTATTTTGGGATTTATATATACATATATTAGCCACTAGGCATCCTGCCTGGTGGTATATTTGCTTAAAAAAAATGATGAATTNTATATTAGCCACTAGGCATCCTGCCTAGTGGTATATTTGCTTAAAAAAAAAAGGAAGAGGGGAGAAGCAGACATTGGACAAAATGGAAAAACCTATGTCTACCAAAGGAGGAGGGGGGAATAGGTTTTAGATCTTTGTTTGATGTGTCCAAGGCCTTATTTGCAAAGCTATGGTGGAGGTTTAGAACATCTAAATCCCTATGGTCCAATTTTAAGTGGAACAAGTACCGCAAGAAGGAACTTCCTACTGTTGTTCAGTTTATAGAGGGTTCCCAAGTTTGGAAGAAAATGCTAGAAGCTAGAGAAGAAGTGGAGCATGAAATTCTGTGGGTGATGAATAGAGGTTCTACCAATGTGTGGCATGAAAATTGGACCGGCCTGGGAGCATTGTATCATGTGTTGCCACCAGAAGTCCCTATAAATGAAGAACTGGAGGAAGTACTTGATCTGAGAACTGCACAACAATGGAATGATGAATTGCTGAATCACAGATTTCCTGAAGATATTGCAGAACATATTAGACAGGAGGTACCTTTTTATAGTGGAGATGAATTCTGGGACATACCTAGGTGGATGCCTACACAATCAGGTAAGTTTTCTGTTAGTAGTGCATGGAGAATAATGAGGCACAGGGAACCTACAAATCCAGAATTCTCAAAGGTATGGACCAAAGGCTTACCTTTTAAAATTTCCTTCTTCCTATGGAGGGTGTGGAGAGGAAAGGTGCCCACAGATGACATATGGAGAAGGGGGGGGATACATGGTAGTCTCAAAGTGTTGGTGTTGTACACCACCACAGGAGGAGTCATTCCAGCATTTGTTCTTAACAAGTAAAACAGCAACTAAGGTATGGGAAACGTTCCTACAGGCTGCAAGATTGATGACTAATATGGTACAGGTGCACCAGGTTATAAGGGTATGGTGGAATGCAAAATGTTGCCCAAAGCTAAGACCTATATTTCAGGCAGCTCCTGCAGTAATTCTATGGGAAATCTGGAAGAGAAGGAACACTAGAAAACATGGTGGATCAGTGTCCTGTAGCAGAGTCATACATGAGGTGAATAAGACTTTGTATTATTTGGCGAAGGTGAGGTATCCGTGGCTTCAAGGGATTCCAATGCTTTGGCCAGAAATGATACGATTTTTTGAGAATTATAAGCCAGTGGTAGTCACTCGAAGAGTTACATGGACATTGCCATATGACAAATGGTACAAGTGTAATACAGATGGGGCATCAAGAGGGAACCCGGGCCCAAGCTCGTATGGATTCTGTGTTAGAGATGATAGAGGGGATTTGGTGTATGCAAAAGCAAGGGAGATAGGTGAGACAACAAACATTGTAGCTGAAGCTAAAGGAATGATGGAGGAACTGATATACTGCATGGAACAACAGCTTCACCCATTGATCATGGAGACGGATTCATTGGTGATGAAGAATATAATTGATGATGAATGGGAGACACCATGGTGTATTGGAACGGAAGTAAGGAAGATCAAGGAGATAAAGGAGTCCTATAATGTACTATTCCAGCATGTGTATAGGGAGGGCAACAAAGTGGCGGATTTTTTAGCTAACCACGTGTTCTTTTTTGCAGGTACTGTCACATTTCAATCATTCCATGAGTTACCATCGGAAGGAAAGGCTCTAATCAATATGGACAAAGCTCAAATACCTAACCTTAGAGTTAGGATCGCCAAAAGAAGAGCACCAGACTAATGAGCTCTACATTTGTTAGTATGCTTCAATCTTTTCATAGGTACTCTAGGATCTTGTTGAATGGTTACCCAGTGGTATTAGTATGGTCACATGCTCAGCCTGGGGACTATTTATCAAGGTACGGGATACCTGATGAAAAGATTAAGAAAGGGAATTATTCACATAATAAGGAAGGAAGGAATGGCTGCAAACTACCCACGAGACCAAACCTATTTGTACCGTGCCTGTTAGTCTCGATCATAAAGCAGCCTGTACTAGGCACGGAATGGACACAACAGGCACGGGACCATAGTGACAGGCACGGGCACAGGATTTTTTATTCAGGGGTATTAGTGGGTTTACTCATTCACTTTGGATCAAATGCTCAACCTGGGGACTATCTATCAAGGTACGGGATTCATGATGTAAAGAGTAAGGAAAGGAAAGGCTGCAAATTACCCACGAGACCGAACCTATTTGTACCGTCCCTGTTAGTCTCGATCATAAAGCTTTCTGCATTAGGTACGGGATCAATGCAAAAGGCAAGAGATTATATCAACAGGCACGGGCACAGGATTTTTTATTCAGTGGTTTTAGTGGGCTTACACACTCACTTTGGATATGATGCAAAGCATGATGCAGGGGACAACCTCAACAGGCAGGGGATCAACTCGACAGGCAAGAGGCACAAGCTTGGTTCAACAGGCACGAGACGGTCTAAACAGACACGGGATAGGGAGAAGTGGCATAGGATGGAATCGACTCGCAAGAGGCTTGAGTTTGGCTCAACAGGCACGACAGTGCCTAAACAGACACGGGATTTAGAGAAGCGGTTGTCGCTCTATCTGTCCCCACCTATACTCTGTGAATTGTACTGTTATTATCCAGTGGTATTAGTGTGGTTTCACACTCATTCTGGAGATGATAATGCAATGCATGAGGTAAGGGCCATGAGGAAGCACGATTGGTTCGTTTTAGCATTGATGACTTCATTTTGTCGGGAGTATGGTTTGGTATTTAATTTGGTCATTGGTTGGTATACTTTGGCGCCTGGTGAGAGATTTTTAGGTGCTGCTTGGTATTTGCCATTGCCATTTGGATTCACATACACTGACAGAAGATGGATTCATGCTGCATTCCACTATGTAATAGCTAGTTTAGTTAGATTTTATTCTATATTCTTAGAAGTAGCTAGCAGCCTCATTATACGACACATTAGACACATTTTATGGTTTTGGACCCTGCTTTGGGATGTCTATATATATATATTAGCCACTAGGCATCAAGCCTAGGGGTATATTTGCTTTAAAAAAAAAAGTCTTCTTCAATGTCCATGATGTTCTTGAGGAGGGACACTGGAATGTGGAAAGACTACTTTCAGCCCTTCCAGAAGAGATTGTATCACACATTATTGAGAGGATTAAGCCTCCAGTGGTATCATCTGACTTAGACCCCCCATTTTGGATGTTAGAAACACAAGGTAAATTCACAGTGAAGTCAGCCTGGGAGTATTTAAGGAGGAGAAATGATCCAAGAGTTGCTTATAAAATGATTTGGGTTAAAGGCCTACCTTTTAAAATAGCCTTCTTCATGTGGAAAGTGTGGAGAGCAAAGCTGCCTCTAGATGACTTCATGCGAAGGATTGGATATCAAATGGCATCTAGGTGTTGGTGTTGTGCCGAACCCAAAGAAGAAACACTCGCACATCTGTTCTTTACATCCAATGCAGCAAGGACTGTGTGGAAATTCTTCCTAAGGAGGGCTGGCAATGCAACTGAAGAACTGAGCTTGCATCAAGCAATAACAAAATGTTGGAATGCACCTGTGATTCCTAGAATTAAGCCTATAATGCAAGCCTTACCATCGTGCATTGTGTGGGAACTCTGGAAAAGGAGAAATTGCTTAAAACATGGAGAAGCTATATCTGTTAGCAGGGTAATCTATCAAGTCTCTATGACACTCCAATCACTGATAAAGCTGAGAAAACCTGGAATTCAAGTTCCACACCAATGGCAGGATATGTTAGTCATGCTCGAGAAATATACTCCTACTCTAAAATATGAGAAAGTTTTCTGGGAATTACCTGAGGAAGGTTGGATCAAAGTCAACACTGACGGAGCATCGAGAGGAAATCCGGGGAGAAGTTCAATTGGTTTCGTTCTGAGAGATGAAAATGACAATGTGCAATATGCAGCAGGAAGGGAGATCAAGGAGGGATCTAACAATGAGGCTGAAGCAGAGGCAATGGTGGAGGCTTTGAGAATCTGCAGGTCGATGAACTACACAAACATTTGGCTGCAAACTGATTCTCTTCTCCTGCAAAAAATTATTGATGGCATTTGGATGCCTCCCTGGATCATCAATGAACAAGTAAAGGAAATCAGAAGCTTGAAGGAGGGATGCAATTTCAGAATATCTCACGTATTCAGAGAAGGAAACAAGCTGGCAGATAACTTAGCAAATTATGCTTTGGACGTGGGAAACATTGAAGCATACCAGTTTTGGGAATTGGATATCCAAAGTAGAAGGATAGTTAATGCAGACAAATCCCAATGTCCATACTTAAGAGTAAAGGTCTCAAGGAAGTAAAATCTTCAATGGAAGCAATGGAGAGAAGACCAAAAAGATCGCCACATTTTTACACTAACTGTTTCTTTTGTTTTACAGGTACAAAGTTTGTGTTAAAGTCTGCAGGTTCACGCTCTATGCTACTGAGCTCTGTAATTCTGGATGTCTATTTGGTGGTATTTCATTCCATCTGTATGGACGAGAGGAGAGAACAACAGATAGCAGAAGCTTTTCTAAAGAGAAAAAAAGGGAACCACAACAGGAGAGGCAAGGAGCTTTCAAGAATATCAAAAAGTATATTATTTGAGTTCAACTAGTTAAGTGATGATTCTCAGTGCCTAGTTTTTAATGAATTTCCATTTGGTGGTATTAATGTATTGCATTCATTCCAATGGAAAGGATTTAAAACTAGTCAAAGAGAATCAAATACCTTACCAGAGTGGGTGTTAATGATGAGGATGCTCAGTTTTTCAGAGTTAAACATGAATATCTAACCCAAAAGAAATAGTCAAGTGCAAAGTGAGATGGACTGGTCATCGTGTGAAGGGCACGGCTGGTCCATCGAACAATGGAAATACACATGGGATCTTTCAATGTGCAAAGGAAAAAAGCATCTGCAAAAAGCACATGATAAACTCTGCCAAATGAGTCAATTGGAGCCAAGAACTAATAAACAAAAGCTGGCAAATGCTTTTCCTGAAAAGCTGCAGGTCCAACGCAGCTTTGTTCACATGCTACTAAACGAAAGCATGCTTCTATCCTTTTGGCCAGTGATTTTTTGTAACTTGAGGACAGCTATGATCGAAACAATTTCAATCTACTGCTCTCGTGTGATTAATGCAAAAACAAGGGCAAGACATAGGCATATATGGTCGAAATAGTGCACTTCAATGATAACCACAGGATACGATAGGGGACCAACTACATCAGCTGCTAGGAGCTCAACTCGATGGTCAGCACTTAATTGGTTATTCAGGCAATGTATGGAGAATCAAAAAGGAAGCCTGCCTAGGAAGTGTAACAGGATTGGGTACAGCTGGAAAAGTAACGATCTTCTAGGCATGTTTTTTAATGAATTTTCTATCCAATGGAAAGGATTTAAATATATGCAATGGAATAGATTTGCGGAAAAGTCCTCGATCAAACCAAAAGAATTAAAAGCCTGGCTGCTACTCACGAGAAGTTTGATAAACAATGCAAGCGTGATCTCTGTGAGCCTCACCAATTGGTCTTTGGGTTCATTGAAATATTCAACAACATGGGACTTTGTAGTATACCACAGCAAAATGAGTGACTCGCAGCATATCATGGATGCCTGCTCTGCACGCCTAATCCAGTCACTTGCAGAATACCCCGTCAACATGTTTTGGGAGAAGGAATTAATAAATTTGTTTACTGTCATAGTATACTTTTTTCCAAAAATGCTGATTGGAGTCTCTATTATAATATCGTTGGGAGCAGCTATCTATTCGAGCACAGGTGACAATACATGTGAGTGTCCAGACTTTGGAATCACAAATGCTGATCTGGAGGAGGAAAAGGGAGATATTTGCAGAAATATGAAGCAACCTACTATCTACACACTATATCACATCGAAGAAATCTGGAAAAGGAAAGTTGAATGGGGAATTATGGGAAAAGCTCTTGCAGAACATCATGCTACTGCAGATTATGATATTCAAATCCTTAGGGAAAAACAGCAGCATAGCAGATGCAGGGTATTTCAGGTGTTGGAGGTGCTTTGGGGCGAGGTGCAGATAATGAGGAAGGACCAGGAGACTGTCAAAACCAGTGATCAAAATCCAGTTGAAGAAGGGGAACAAAGAGGCTTCAATGATCACCATCATGTTCAAATCCTTTTGGAGGAGAAAATGATGAAAATTTATCTTAACAATGTGTTCTTTTTTGCAGGTACATCATCTAGATCCTATCTTCTACTGAATATCATACTGGTGGTATTGGTGATTCTCACCCAACCTAGTGGAATGAAGGTAGTAATAGGAAACAACCTAGATGGACCAACGTATGAAGAGCAGGAATCAAGCAAGGGGACATACAGAATAATTTGGATCATTTCTGCGGTGTATGTTATAAAAATATGCACAAGGAAAAGAAAATTTCAAACAATTGGCAAAATGAGCAGGAAGATGAATTGGACTACTCATGTACACACATTGTGGACAGTTAAGCGTAAGTTAAACTGGATGAAACAATCGTGGAATCTACACAATGGGAACGGGTATGCAAGGATGCAGCATTTATTGATTCTACATGAACTTACGAGGAGCTTGGAGTTGGTGGTATTAGTACTTTGTACTCAATCCAACACAAGTGAACCATGGGGGAATGTAATCTCAGTGCAACTCATAGGCTGCCATCCCTATTTGATGCACCCACGCAGAACAATCACAGGAATAGGAAAACATCAGCAACATTACAAAAGAAGCAAACAG